GTAGAATCCCTGGAACTAGAGTTACATGGGTGCCAGGAACCAAACTCAGGTCGTCTGGAAAAGTGGTACTGTTTCTTGACTACTGTGCTGTCTCTCCAGCCCCTCACATTTTTTTGACAAACTAGTAGCCCCTTTGAGCCACTTGACCTTCTTTTTCCCAAAGGAATTTAGCAGTGGAAATTAATAAGAGGATGACTGTAAGTCCTGTGGACTAGAAATGTGCTGTCAAAGGGTTAAGCTAGGAGATTGGTGCACTCCTCAGATCTCAAAGACCATGAAAGAATGAGCCCAAATAACAGGATTTTATTAGATTGCTTTTCTTGGTCTTGATTCATTTTACCAGTAGGTAGTTAGTATTTGTGCTACTTTATGATACATCGATTTGTTATTGGGTACCAGAAGATCATGGGCAATGGTTATTTGAGATAAAAGGCAGTTAGCTCTTTTATCTCAAATAGTATTTTTAATATGACTCACAGTTTTAGTAGTCAGCGTTTCAATGCCAGCCTTTGCAACCAGGGAGGTTGGCCTCATGGAAGCAGGTGAATAAAAATTTACCTAGTGTTTCCTTGCATGGCCTTTGAATGAGAGGTTCTGGCCTCAAGAAGAAGTGAGCTTGCTGCTATTGCTACTTAGCCTCCACTGCCCTTTAGTGAGAAGCTGCTTATGACATGTCTGTCTTTTCCATTGCACCTCTGTTCAGTCACACACATTTCCCACCTAATAGCACCATCGTTGTCTTGATGTTAAATTAGTTTCGGTTCTATTAGAACATTGTCCCTGTTACTGGAGTTGGTAGGGCCAGTACCTGGCAAACTAAGCTCTGTCACCAGTCCTCAATATGTCAATTAAACACACAAAAACATAGTGAAAAGCAGAAAAAGGAGATTCACTCAGAGTGACCACTCCCGAGAAGAGAAACAAAGAAGTCCATAGACTGCCCCACCTTACCCTAAGTCCGGGTCCTGAACACTTCCAGGTTTAGGTGAATTTGAAGACAAGGGGTTTGCATAATTAAGCAGTCCTAGTCTATCATGACCATCAGTGACTTACTCACCACTGTCAAGGTTGCAGTCTGTCTGGCAAGGTGTTTTATTTTATTTTAAAGTTTTTCAAGACAGAGTTTCTCTGTTAGTCCTGGCTGTCCTGCAACTTGTTTTGTAGACCTGGCTGGCCTTGGACTCAAAAAGATCCATCTGTTTCTGCTTCCCAAAATGGGATTTTAAGGTGTGCGCCACCAAGCCCAGCTGTGTGCAAGGTGTTACTGACAATTTAGCAGAACTATATGCATCTTCTTTTGAGAGAAAGCTCCACTCTGGCTGGCACCAAGCTCCAGTCTTTGTCTTTTCCCAGCGTGAGATTCCTGGGAAAACTGCAGTTCCTAGGGATCCATTGTTTCAATAGTCAAATAGACACAGGGAGGGACACCAATGTCTCCTTAGATTATCTTTATCCCACCCTGTTCCAAGCCTTCTGGGGAGGATTGGGCTGGGATTTAGATTTCTTTCCAAACACTGAGATTATTGCCTGGTAGGAAGATGACATTTCCCTGGTGGAAACACTCAAGGTTGTTTTGAGTCCAGGTCAGACCATAAAACCTAAACAAATGAATGAATGAACTCTATGCTGTAGCTGTTCTAGGAAAAACAGTAGGCTGAGTGTGTGAGTGGAAACTCTTGAATCTGCTCTTTGTCCCAAATGACCAGGTGGCTGAGGACAAGGACAGCCCTAAGCAAAATGACGAAACACAGATGTTCACCCAGGAGACTATAAATCCCCAAATTGTAAGGATAATGTCTACATATTAATGTTTCCTCCTTGATCACTGTTCACCTCTTCCAGAACCTTCCTGGGGTTCATCTCTGACTGCATTCCTTCAAAAGCAGAGCCTAAAACCTCTGTAGCAGTTAGCTGGGCATCTGGCCCCTGTAGGCAATCTTCTGAAACTTTTTGCCTTCTTAAAGCACAGGGAAGCTTAAATCGAAGCTTGTCATTTAATTAGTTTTGTTACCCTTTGCTGGGCCTTCAGAGCCACAGCTTTCTCGTGCCACCTGAGAGTTATCAGGACCTCAGCAGGCTTCCCTAGGAGGTTTCAGTCCATGCTGGAGTACTTTCCCTGTTCTGGGAGTGAAGTGCTGCCTTTGAGGCAGTTAAGGCAATCCCGCCCAAAGGACTGGGGTGGATCCCTGGTGTTTAACGTCTTACGACTAGTTTGCCAGTGAATGAAAGCCTCCAGGATGCAGGGCTAGCCTTCTGAGGCTAGCGAGAGCATGGGAGGAATGTACACTCTCATCCTGTACCCAAAGCTCCTGAGGCAGCTGACAGCCTATTTCAGCAGACTGCCTTGGGTCTGGGGTCAACTGCTGGAGTGCATTCACACCTCTTTCCTGGGAAGTTAGAGGCCATCATGATAATCTCTGCAGAGCCAAGTGGTGTCACGTTTCTTTTCATTCCTGGAGTCTAGCCAGATCCTGTCACTCTCTCTAAGGCACTCAGCTCTCTCCTTTCCTCATCACCCTCAGCTTTCAGCAATCTCATTCCTTTGGCCTCTTCCACACACACATTTTTCAAACAAGGTAGGTTGTTCATGAGATCATGTTTCTGTGAAATAAATAAATAAATAAAACCACTTGTGGAAATGAAATCTTCAGAGAGGAGATGAGCAAAAGGGTCCAGGGCATCATTCCTTGGGGTGCTGCATCAATCCATTTTTCCAGGGTTTGCACAGTTCAGGTACTTAGTGGTCTGTTGATTACAACTGTAGCACAAAGCCCCAGAACCATAGGCATTCTGCAGGAAGCAAGAAGTGCTGCTTTTATCCATGCAGCTAAAAAGGAAGGGTCAACACACAGCTCATCCTTCCCAGGGAGAGATGCGGGCATCGTTAATTCATTAACACATAGCTGAGACTACAGAGGAGCAGGCAGCTGTGTCTGGCAGTGGAAATGGGAGACCGGAGAAGCAGAACTAGGAAGCTAATTAAAGAGGGCTGCAGGGGGAAGAGGATGAGTGGGGATGATGGTGAAGTTCAAGCAGATGTCACAGGATGTCTCACTGTCACCAACTAGCAGGAGAGTCCTCAGGGTATGGGCATGTGTCTTCTCCCCCATGTCAGTTTGGCTATAATTCCCATGCCTTTCAGAGGGGGAGCTTGGCATATGTGTGTGTGTGTACATCTTAGCAAAAACAGTCATTCTCTTGGCAGAAAACTCTTCAAACATTATTGAGTCCAAGAACAAGGGTGAGACTCTGTAGGACAGCAGTTACGTGCCTTACCAAGTATTCTAAGGGGTGGGGGTGGGGTCTTACTTAAGAGCTAAAGTCAATGGTACAGGATTCTTTAGCTGTTTTGCCAAAGGGAACGACCCAAATTAAGTCTTTAGCTTCTAAAATAGGACTTCACTGGAAAGCAAAATTGAGATTATGGGTTTACATGGCAAAGGCATGTGTATGTTTCTAAGAGATTTGCAGAAGTGAAAATGAGAGAAATGTGTGTGCATATTTGTGTAGGCATGCACCCATTTCTGTGGAAGCCAGAGGTTGAGTGCCTTCTTTAATTTTTCTCCACCTTAGTTTTGAGACAGGGCCTTTTACTGAATCTGGAGCTCGTTGACTTGGACAGGATAGTTAGCCCCCAAGTTACAGTAATCCTCCTGCCTTCACCTCTTCAGTAGTACAAGCCTACTGCCTCAGTTGACTTTTTACACAGGTGCCAGGGATCAGAACTCACATCCTCATGCTGTGCAGCAAACACTATGGATGGAGCCACTGCCCGGTTCCCATTTTATTTTTATACTTATTTAAGGATGTCACTTGTCATCCTTCTGCATTGCAGCATGCCTACTTTTGATGTTTTTGCCCACAGTTTCAAACACAAGATGGTGGATTTGGAGAGAATGGTAGCCTGGGAGGAACTTGGCTGAAAGCCTGGTTGGTCTTCATTCTGAGGCTGAGGACTATGTCCTTTCTTGGCATGGTCCTTCCTTCTTGGTCTCTCTCCTGCTGGGCCTTAAACCCTAAACTAAAATGGGACAAGGTTCTCCAAGTGTTATGCCACTGGCAGACTATGAAAACAAGCTTTCGGCTTCTAGAACTGTTACCTCAGTGGAAAGTAAACTTGAGCTTCTGGTCTTGTATTCTAAAACATTGCACACTGCTGCTTTCCCTTTAAGTGTGGAAAATGTTCCCGGCCTATCTTGAGGATGTATAGTGATTTCTAGTATGATGGTTTCTTTTACCTTCTCTTCTAATGGAAATGTCATGATTTGTTTTGTGGTTAAGACAAAAATTGCCCATTATTTATTTGTTTGTTATGGTTTTTCAAGACAGGGTTACTCTGTGTAGCTCTGTAGTTTTGGAGCCTGTCCTGGAATTAGCTCTGTAGATCAGACTGACCTCAAACTCAGAGATCCACCTGCCTGTGCCTCCCAAGTGCTGGGATTGAAGGCGCGCATCACCACTGCCTGGCCCATTGCCTATTTTTTTAATCATACCGATCAGTATGGATGAAATAACTATTCAGCTTCTCCTCAAGCCACAGACCCGTTGTCCCCTTCACAATTAATTTCTTTGAATTTGGCTCTCAACACCTTCCTTCTATTTTCTTCAGTGATGTCTGGAGTTGCCTAAAATTTTGAGCAGCAGAGCACACATCTACCATCCCAGCACTCAAGGAGACTAAGGAGTTTGGAGCTCTACTCAGCCTCAAGCTAGACTCAAAGAGAGGAAAATCTATAATCTATAGCAAGTTGAGCAGTGGTATTCTGAACTGAAAATATCCTTGAAGCTTTAATAGTGGGAACCCACCTTTAGAGGAACCTCATTTTTCCGGGTACTCTCATTTCCAATCGTTGTTTGCATTCACTATAGTAATCCTTGAGGTATGGGTCATACCCATGTCTCAGGAGGAAACAGAAGCACAGGCAGTTGTGCAGTCCACCCAGGGCTTGGTGAACTAGACTCCAGCTCTCTACTGACACCTACTCCCATTCCTTCCACAGGTATGAACGCTGCTGTCCGTGCTGTGGTGCGCATGGGAATATACGTGGGGTCCAAAGTGTACTTTATATATGAGGTCAGTGCTTGCTTCCCGTCTGTGCTTTCTCTGACTCAGGAAATTGGACCGCCCACTGGCTAGAGCCCTGAGCTCACAGGTCTCTTGCTCCTGCTGCTGGCCCTGGCTGAGCACCAGAAGTGAGGGGGAGAATGAGATTAGACAGCACAAAAGTCATGCCGATATCAACTTCCTGGTCTTGATTACTGGGTTAATGATCCTGAATGTGTTAACTGTGCTCTGATGTCAAAGAATAGTATGAGAAATGGAAAGACAGCCACTTTGAGCTGTCCGTCATTAATGTGAAGCTGGGGCCACTCCCTGGTGTCTGCTCATGTCTTAGCTTCACATCGAAAAGTCTGTGGGATAAATGGAATTTTATTAGTGCACAAATAAAAATGATGTCATGAGTTTGCCTGGAAATGGATGCAACTGGAATCAATCACGTTAGACAAAATAAACTAGACTCAGAAAGACAAACATGTTTGCTGTCCTGTCCATCTTAGATTTTAACGTGTGTGTGTGTGTGTGTGTGTGTGTGTGTGTGTGTGTGTGTGTGTGATATGAAACTAGGAAGGAGACTGGCAGGAAGAAAACATCTAAAGGGGTAGGAGAAGGAGGGAAAAGGTGATAAAATGCCTATGACTTGAGGACAGAGGAGAGATGATGGGAGGTTGATAGGATAGCAGGAGGGGTTAAGAGGATAGGAGGGAGAGGAAGAGAATGAATGAGAAGAAATATGTATGAAGATGCCATAATGAAATCCATTATGTCCTGTGTTAACTTCTACTGAAACTAAGTCTCTTGTGTTCAGGTCCTGTTAACTTAGGAAATATGTAGTTATGTGAAGAGGAACCAATATACAATATATACTGAGTCACTTTATTTTCAGAAGCATGAGGAAAAGCATTTTGTTGTTGTTGTTCTTTTCTTTCTTTTTTCTTTTTTCTTTTCGTTTTTTGAGACAGGATTTCTCTGGAGCTTTGAAGACTGTTCTGGAACTTGCTTTGTAGATCAGGCTGGCCTGGAACTCACAGAGATCTGCCTGTTTCTGTCTCCCAAGTGCTGGGATTAAAGGTGTGCACCACCACCACCCAATCCTATTTCTTAAAAGCTACTTCCAGATCTACATTGCTATTTAAAATTCTGCATTTTGGATCAATACTGTGGCCTGTAGATAATGGCATCAATCAGTTAAAAGCCATGACCATTGTGATGGATACCTCTGACCGAAGAAGCATTTTCTGAAAGCATTCCAACAATAATTCTTTTCATTATTTTATCTTTGTTTATTTAAATTATAAACAAGCTTGTTTTACTTGTCAACCCAGTTTCCTCTCCCTCCCTTCCTCCCCTGCTCCCTATTGACCCCCATCTCATCCCCTTTCTGCTTCCCAGGGAGGTGAGGCCTTCCATGCGGGGGATCTTCAAAGTCTGTCATCATTTGCCTAGGCCCTCCCCTGCCAACACTAATTCTTAACCCAAACATTCCAGAGATGGTCACATCAGATCCCTACAGACAGGGGTCTGAATGCTGTTTGCTGGTTGTCTTAGGGTTTCTGTTGCTGTGAAGAGACACTATGACCATGGCAACTCTTATAGAAGAAAACATTTAATTATGGTAGCTTACATTTTCAGTCTATTATCATAATGGTGGAGAAAATGGTAGACATGGTGCTGGCTATATCTTGGTATGCAGGCAACAGGAAGTAGACTGTGACACTGGGCATTATTTTGAGCACTCAAAGCTCATCCCCACAGGGACACACTTCCTTCAATAAGGCCACACCTACGTCAACTAAACCACACCTCCTAATAATGCCACTCTTCTCTGAGGTTACCAGGGCCAATTACATTCAAACTACCACATTGGTGTTTACCTCAACATCTCCCCATTTGTGAAACGTTACACCTATATTCCTTTGCCCATGTGTTTAGCCTTTGTTTTTTAATTTGCTCTTCAAAATCTGTGGCTGTGATATTTGTTTATTACATTTGGACAGGTTGAAAACAATGGCTCTAACCCTTGGTCCATTTAGACTGTTTAACATTTACTGTTTGGAGCATGTGAAGGTCAAATTCTCCCTGTGAATTTCCATGCCTGGGCTCCAATCCTGATCCTGCCATCTCTTGCTCTGCTCCGTGGGGTGTCAGTGCAGATTAGGATCCATGCTACACAGAACACGAGCCCTCCTTCTCCTTCTTCTCCTCCTCCTCCTTGCCTTAGAGTTTGCATTTGTGTGTCAGGGTCTCTGGAAGAAGGCCATTGATTTATCCATTGGGCCACTTAGGCTTTAAGTGTCACCACCTTATTTTCCCTGGACCTCTGTGTTGTTCTTTTTGTTCTGTTTGAGAGCTTGCATGTGAACACAGAGGTAGGTTTTCTCCCCCTTTCCCCACCCTCTCTGCTGCTCTCTCCTGCCTTGTGCATTCTGGCTCGAGAGCAGTTCCTAATTAGCACATGTGGTTTTAATTCGCTCTTTGGGGTTGGAGCAGTGCCAGATGAGGTTTCCTGTTAAAATTAGCAGCAGTTTCAAATTTGCTAGCGACTACGAGTCTACAGAATGCTCTACAGAATGCTCCCCCAGGAGCCCATGTGATTTGCACACAGGCCACAGCAAGTGTCCTCTGCTCTAGCTGCATGCAGCTAAGCACCTAAGAAAGGAGAAAGTTCCTCCATGAGTCACTGCTTTGATCTTGCTGGTGGCTCTGGAGGGTGTATGAGGTTAGGGCGGAAGTTACTTCTGTTACTTCATAGTCAAACTGAATCCTCCACCAAACGGTTAGTGTTCTCTGTGTCCTCTGCAGGGCCAGAAAGATCTCAGCCCTGCAACCCCCAAGCCTAGTTGTGAGTGACTTAGACCCAAGGTCATTTATTTGCCTTTGCTTGAAGACATTTTTGATGATCTCATTGTTAAAGGTAGGATTCTTCCTGGCATCCAACGGGTAGCAGCAGGATTCTGCCTAACACATTTTAAACCCAACATGGCAACCCTCAGCCTTGAAAAATCAGTTGGCCACATGTGTCAGGTCAAACAATGTTGAGAAGCCCACTGTTCCTGAAGATCCATGTAAATGGAGGTCTCTCTCGCACTCTCCAGTTCCCGAATAAACATTCAGAGCCTTAATACTAATGAACTTGCTTGGCCCACGACTCAGGCACATTACTGACTAGCTCTCACAATGAAATTAACCCATTTTTACTTCTCTGTGTATCACCATGTCACTGTGGCTTACTGGTAATGTTCTGGCATCTTATCCCTTTGGCAGCTACATAGCCTCTCCTTGACTCTACCTTCTTTCTGTCTGTATCTCTGTTTGGATTTTCTGCCTAGTTATATTCTGCTCTGTCATAGGCCAAAACAGCTTTATTCATCAACCAATAAAAGCAACACAATTGGCAGCACACAGAAGGACATCTTACATCAGAGCTAACTCTGTCTTGAGTGTTATTAGTTGGGGAGGGGACTAGCAGTTATCTGGACAAGACACGTTGGCTGTGTGAGGTTTTAACCTGTGCCAGAGACTGAGAAAGCCGTTGTGCTTTCTCAGATGCTCCCTGGGTGCAGTTGTTTTGCCTTGTGTGTTTGTACTTTGTTCTTCTTCATCCTGTCTTGTGACTGTCTGAGTTCTGCTGATATCTAGCTATCTCCAGACCTGTGTCTACCAGACTCCACACATTTACAAATTAAAGAACTGTTAGGGAGAACATCTTATGGTCCTACAATGAAATACTTTTGATCTTTTGAAGTTAATCAGATTCATTCTCTACACTATTGTCGTTAGAGTTCTCTAGAGAAACAGAACCAACTATATGTAATTATAAGACAGGGCTTATTAGATTGGTGCATAACTCATAGGCTCCCTGTGGCTGGTGAGTAGATGTCCAGTCTAAATGAGCTGGAAGCCTCAGTATGAGAGAGAGGTCAATGATCCTGTAGGACTTGGCACAAGTGTAAGATTCTCTCTTTAATAGCAATAAGTATTCACTGGAGATATATCAGTTGGGAGTGTCATCATCTCTAGAGATGTAAAACTTCTGCGTCTGTAATTTTAAAGTCCAAAGAGAATTGGAAAATGTAAGCTTTTACCTCACTTGCTTTACAGCAAAGCCTTGATGCCCTGGAATGAGGCTGAGTATAATCCTGGCTCGGACTAGACTGTACCTTTCTCTACAGAAACCAACACCTACAGGGATGGCCTCCACTGAGCTCCTAATCACCTCAGGCCACATTTGTAGTCATACCCACATTGCTTTTGAAAATGCAAGACTTTAGAATCCTAGCATAACTCTTCCAGGGGTTAGGTAAGGGACTGTGCATCTCCAGCAGGCAGCCAGTGCCTGGGAATGAATGAATAATCCTTTGATCCTTTGTCCTCATTTGAGCCATGGGGGTGATGATTGTGCTGGGTATGATGGAGGCAGGAAAGCTTCAGGAGTTCGGAGTCGTCATTGATTATCTAGTGAGTTCCAGGCCAGCCTGGGCTACATAAGATCTTGCCTCAAAAACCCCTAAGAGAAAAAAGAATGGGGGGGGGCATGGGGGAGACAAGGGGAAAAAAGAAAAGGAAGAAAACAGAAATCTTCTGTTTCCCTCACTGGTAGAAAATGCGTGGAAGGGCTTTGAGTACTAGCCCCAAAGGGGCTATTTGCTGGCTGGTTGCAGGACAAGAAGACGTGCTTGCCTTTGACTCCATTGGTTTGTGGCCAGGCCCAGAACTGAGGCATGTGACTCAAGTGATGTACTCCTGGACATTTTGAGAATCATGAGTTGTCTAATATTCAGGCTTCTTGATTAACCTCATTCAGTACTTTATGGTTGGGATGGGTTATCAGGCTTGGTGAATGAGAGTCCTGTACATTATAGGACTCTACCCACTGCATGCCAGAGGCGCCTCCTCTCCTTGATCATGGCATTAAAGATTGTCTCCAGGTAGTACTGTTCCCTGGAGGCACAGTCCCTCTTGGTAGGGACTGCTATTCTCAATGTTTTTAAGCCTCATTTAGTGATTCATACCAA